GTGTCTAATCTACTGTTAAATCGGTCCACCAAGTTTTTAGTTCAGTTATTTTATTTTTCATCTTTAGAAATTCTATTTGGTTCTTTTTAATATTGGCTTGGCCATATTTTAGAATCTTTTGCTCTTTCTAATATTTCCAGTCCCTCTATTTCTTTAAACTATTACTGATTACATTTGTATCAGTAGATAATTGAATATATAAATGTATATGTTACATTTTTATATGTTGTCCAAAATCTGAAGTTTTGAGGGGGGATCTGATTCTGTTGTCTATTTTTCTCACTCAAAGGCCCTTATTAAGTGTTTTGTGATTTTGGAATGAGGGCACATACTCCTCAGAACTCCGCAGGATTCCTTCGAGGCCTAGGTTAGAGGTGGGCGCCTCCAGACAAGTTATGTGTTTGCCTCTACCAGCTGCCAGAGGGCACTAACTACTTGAGACAACACTGGATGAAATCCTTAGCTTGAGGTTTTTCGATTTTCCAGATAGTGTGAATTCAGGCTATAAACTCTCCGAAGATCACCTTATGGTTATGAAACCTCAGGGAGATTACAGTTTTCCTTCTCTACCCAGTGTCAAGGTTTGAGAAAGGCATTTTCCTGGTAACTCCTAGGGAGCTGAGTGTGGGAGGTGGTTATTTCCAGGGCAGACTCACACTGAGCGTGCGGTCTTATGGGTCCCAGCTCTGGTTGAGAGCAGTAAGTCCCATACCTTGGATAGGCCCTGGGTGTTATCTCCTGTCCCAGGGTCCTCCCCTCAGACTGCGAGGCTGAAGCTCAAGGTCACCAAGTTCTGCAAATGCCCTCAAGGTTAACATTTACTTCAGTCCACTTTCCCCTCTGGGTTCCTACTTTCACATAGTTTTTGTCCTTCAAGTATTTCAAACTCTTCTTTTAAGCTTTGACCAGAATTTTTACTGTTAGCAGTTAAAATGTATGTCTAGTCCATTATGCGGATAAAATAGAAGGCTGTTTGTTTTGGTTTTGCTTTTCTTTTTCTTTCAAAATTTTCTTTCTTTTCTTAAATTACAGTTGGTATATAATGTTGTGTTAATTTCTAGTGTAAGGCATAGTGACTCATTTATATATATATACACACACATACACATATGCATATATTCCTTTTCATATTCTTTTTCATTATAGGCTATTACAAGGTACTGAATATAGCTCCCTGTGCTATACAGTATAAACTTGTTGTTTATCTGGTTTATAATATAGTAGTTAGTATCTGCAAATCCTGGACTCCCAATTTATCCCTCCACCCCCACTTTCCTCCTGGTAACCATAAGTTTGTTTTCTGTATCTGTGAGTCTGTTTCTGTTTTGTAAATAAGTTCATTTGTTTCATTTTTTTTAAGATTCCACATATAAGTGATATCATATGGTATTTTTCTTTCTCTTTCTGGCTTACTTCACTTAATATGACAATCTCCAGGTCCATTCATGTTGCTGCAAATGGCATTGTTTTATTCTTTTTTATGGCTGAGTAGTATTCCATTGTATATCATGACTTCTTTATCTAATCTTGTGTTGATGGACATTTGCTTCCATGTCTTGGCTATTGTAAATTGTGCTGCTGTGGACACTGGGGTGCATGTATCTTTTCAAATTAGAATGTCCCCTGGATATATTCCCAGGAATGGGATTGCTGGATCATATGTTAAGTCTATTTTTTGTTTTTTAAGGAATCTCCGTACTGTTTTCCATAATGGCTGCAGCAAACTACATTCCCACCACCAGAACAGGAGGGTTCCCTTTTCTCCACACCCTCTCCAGCATTTAATAGAAGCCTGTTATTATTAAAACACTAAAAATATATCTAGTATTCATTTTTAGCAATTATTTTATGTTTTCTTTCCTCCCCCAAAATGACTTCTTCACAAGGGGTTTAATTTTTCATAAAGCCTTAGAACAAAGTGGGCAGAAATATTAGAAAGACCAAAAAAAGTGTAGTACACTACCAGGTCTCTCTTATTCCTAAACTAGATCAGAATCAGTTTTGTACATCATACAGTTATAATTGGGTAGGTTAAATCAGTGTGTTAGAAATGGCAGCGAGGCCTCATAATAAGCCCCTTCCTGCATGGATCCCATGGTTCTCTGACAGTAAACCTCCAAGACCCCTTACAATGCAAAGCAACTAAAGCCCAGTTTTACAACACGGAGGAAATACAGGGCATTGGGTTTTGGGAACCTGCAAAATATCCAAACCTTCCTTCAGGGCCAAAACTCTTCTATAAATCAATATATCATATTTGTTGAGAAAATATAAAACATACTGGCTCAAATTTATTTAAAAAAAATTTTCCATGCCCATTCTCTGAGGGTGGGATGATAGAGGCTGCATAACATATCAAAGGAGATGAAACACTCCCAAACCAGGGCCTCGATTCCTAAAGCAGTATTAACGACAGGGTGTTGCCATCTATTGAGAGCAGTGCTTCCCAGAGCAGGCTCCTCGAACATACTAGGTTGCCTGACATTCTGCTCACTCTCTATGGTCCAAGATATTGTCAGGGAGTAAAGGGGCTAGGGGAAGAAAAGGGGAAGGATGAGGGATAAAATATTAAATACGCTTTTGGAAGAAAACAGCTAGCAATTCCCTTGACAGGGTTTTTGCTCAGCTTCAAAATTTAGTAAGCTTTTTACACAGCTCGATGGAGCCTGAGTTTTTACCATTATGACTGCATTTGTTTGGCTTAAGATTTTGTTAAGCCTCTTAAAATGGAAATACCTCTGGGACACAAACTCCTGCTGAGCAGGGAGCGGCAAATCAGTGACTGTCCACAGGAAGTGGTGTCACTGTGGCAAATTGGAGAAGACACCCCTGTCCACAGGGGCAGCCTCTGCTCACTTGGCCAGCTGTTCATAGGCAGGAATGTGGGCCTTGTGATTTTTTTTCAGAAGTAGAAATCAGCATTTTTGTGAGACATTTCATGATTTTTAAAGTGTTAACAACTAATTTGGCATTTAAAAAAAACAACCCAGGAAAGGCCAAACAAAACACATCTGTGGGCTGGGATGCTGTCCATGGGTCACCAGTTGGCGACCTTTGTTTTGGACTTTGTTCACTGGATGCCCCATTGTGAAAGAATTTATCACCTCCTTTGCTAGAGCAGAGCAAAAGGAGAGAAGACACGTAGGGCCTCTTACGCAGAGCTGTGCATGGACAGAGAGGAGCCGTGGGTGAGGGGAGAAGCCAGCAGCGAGGCCCTCCCTGTTCTAAGTGACTGGGCCGCAGGCCAGGAAGCCCTGTGGTAGATCTGCTGCCTTTCCAGCAGCTGGATATGAAAGCACAAGTCAGATCCCACTTCAGGATGCTGTTAATTCCAAATGTGAACTTTTGGAGTCATTCTTTCCATATGGAATTCATAAAAGAATGTAAAAAATATTTTCAGGGGGAATATGTAATATCCATGACAGATAAGTAAGTTCCTAACACTATTTACATAAAATGAATGAAAGCTACTTAGAGGCAATTCTTTCCTTGTCATTGATGAAACAGATCTCCAAAGACTTCACCCTGGCAACATTCCTTAGTCTTGTTTGTTACATGAAAAAAAAATTTATAACAGATCATTTTAGCTTGTTCAGATGGACTTTAACCAAGCTCCGAATATAAGATCTCATTGTGTTGCATCATACCTTCTCACAACCCTCAGGTGGGCAGCAAATGGGACCCTCCCTCCAATCACCATGGGTTGGTTAATATTCCCACTTTTTTTCCCCCAACATTTGTCAAAAACAGCTTTATTTATGACTGAAATACGACAGCTGGCACATGTTTAATGTGAACCATTTGATAAGTTTTGACATATGTGATAGTTTTGGGTGAAACCATCACACCATCAAGATAAGACCATGAAAGTTTCCTTGTGCCCCTTTGCATCCTCCCCCACCCCCAAGTAACTGCTAATCTGCTTTCTGTCACTAAAGATACTTTTGCATTTTCTACAATTTTATGTGAATGGAATCATACAGTGTGGCCTCTTTTGTTTGTCTGGCTTTTTTCACTTAGCATAATTATTCTGAGGTTTGTCATGTGTGCCATGTTTGTCAGTTCTGTTGCTGAGTAGCTTTCCATTGTATGAATGTAAGCGTTTATCTGTATACTAGCTGATAAAAATTTGGGTTGTTTCCAGCTTGGGGCTACTTACAAATGGGGTGCCATGAACATCTATGTACAAGTCTTTGTATGATCATGTGCTTTCATTTTGCTTGGTAAATAAATACCTAGGAATGGAATACCTGGGTCCTATGGTCCCATATATGTTTCACTTTTTAAGACAATACCAACTGTTTTACAAAGTGGTTATACCGTTTTATATTCCCATCAATAGTGTATGAGAGTTCCAGTTCTCCAGCACTTGGTGTTGTGTCTTTTTGGTTACACGCATTTGAGTGGAGGTGATGTGGTATCTCAGTGTGGTTTTAATATACAGGTTACTAATGAGCATCTTTTTATGTGCTTATTTGACATTTATACATCCTCTTTGAAGTGAACGTTGAAATCATTAATTGGGTTGTGTGGCATTATTGAGCTTGAGAGCTTTTTATGTATTCTGGATTCGAGTCCTTTAAAATGATGTGCCAATATTTTTTTCCAGTCTGGGCTGGCTTTTCATTCTTCTAACAGTCTTTTGAAGAGCAGAAATTTTTAATTTTGATGAAGTCCAGTTTAACAATTTGTTCTCTTTCAGATTGTGCTTGTAGTATTGTATCTAAGAAATATTTGCCTAAACCAAGGTCATAAAGGATTTCTTTTATGTTTTCTACAAGAAATGTAGGAATTTAAAGTTAGGGTTTTGTTTTGTTTTTGTAAAGAAATAGTTTATTTATTTATTTGTTTAATTTAAGAAATTATAGTTGACCTACAATACTGTGCTTGTTTAAGTTGTACAACATAGTGATTTAGTATTTCTGTACAATACAAAATGACCATCACTGTTCCCGCTTTATGAGCTTATTGAAATATCTCCTTCCCACTACCCCCAAAAGGACAGCCTTTTCTACCTCAGGGAAGAGAAACATAGACCACAGTGATGGAGACCCACCAGATGTGCACAAGAAGCTGCCGTCCAATGCTGGAGAGGACCGAGCCATGCTGCTAGGGTTTGCAATGATGGCCTTTTCTGTCCTAATGTTTTTCTTGCTTGGAATAACCATCCTAAAGCCCTTCATGCTCAGGTAAGAAAGAGAAAGGAGATCCAGAATTTCCAAATCAAACCATATGCAGGCACAGTGGTAGAGGAGAGGAGGGGAGGGGAGAGTGGCTTCAGTTTCTCGAGCCCTCTTGACCTTTGTCTAGGACAGGGAGGATAGAGTTCCTGGTCCTCGGTCAGTGCTAGGAGGCAGCTGGGTTTGGAGGAAGAGGTGGTAAGAGAGTGGAAGAGACTCCATTGTTGCTCCCCTCCTCCAATCTCAAAAATTCTTTCAACAATGTATCCATGTACTGTATATTCCTGCAAGTAATAAATTCATTCTTTAACATGCAGATATCCCAGGGAAGGGTTAGGTTAAGCCTCTATATGAGTACAACAAGTTTTTTGAGTCTGAGTTTTTTGAGCTTGATAATTATCAACTACTAGTACATAGTAGTTGCTCAACAAAAGTTTTCTTCCTTTTAAGTAATTTCTTTATTAAATGCATGTAATAAGTTATCATTTCTTACATATATACTACATGTCAAATATATACTGTATTTTATCCTATTTAAACCTACAGCAAACCCATGATGGAAGCATTCTTTTATTATTTTAATTTTCACTGTATGAATGAGAAAGCTGAGGCTCAGAAAGGGCAAGTTACATGCCCAAGATCACATAGGCAGTGAAGAATTTGCCTATTCATTCTGACATAAGACTCGTTGCCTCCTAACACTTAAATGGAGTTTGCTGCCATGAGGGGGATGGGAATTTTGTTAGGGCTGTAGAGGAGCTGTTTAACGTTGGAGATTGGCTCACACACATGGGGTGCCTTGGAGGAGGGCAGCACTGGGTAGGGGGAATGCAAGGGTCACTACCCCTTTGGCTAGCCAGAGAGCAACAAAGGCCCAGGGGAGTGGGATGAGGGAGGCCTAGGAGTTCAGTGAAGAAAAGGGGTCATAGGGAAGGAATTATGTGGCCTGCTTTTGTTACTTATCAGATTCATCTCCCACCATTCCTAGGTTCCCATTGTTAGGGCAATAATGTGGGGGTCCTCCTCCACTGCAGTACAAAGTGCCACTATCAGGGAAATTTTCTCTCTGACATTAGCAACAGGGAGAATCTGTTCTGCTCCTGATCAACCAGCTTACTTTAATCTAATGGATACCAGGAACCTTGTGTCTGGCTGTATTTTCTCCATTGCTTTGGCTGCTAGGAAGCTCAGAGCCAAATTTGTGGCCCAGTTCTCATAACTATCAAGGATCTTATGGTGTGGAGGTTACATGTTTATACCTCACTCTTGACTTCATTCTAGCTTTCTACCTTCCTTTTCCTGTTAATGTATTTTCCATCTACATATCTGCATTATGTATATCTATATAAGTTCAGTAAATATGTGTGTATGCACACGTGTGTTTGCGTGCAGGTCAGATTATTTTTTAAAAATATGATGTGATATATTTGGGAGACGGTTTGAAGATACCTTCTGTAAGCTGACACTAAACTCTTGTTCATATTTAAGGTATACTTTTCTAAGCATTTCTGGAAATTGTTTGCTGCAGGTAATTAAGGGACTGTTTACGAGCAGTGAGTTCTCATCTCTGTTGCCTTGTGATCTTGTGCCATCAGAGAGTAGTCTTGCTTCATAAAAGCTGATGGTTGAGAGACTTGGGTAGCTCGTACCTATCCCCCCAACTCCCTTAAGCCCTCATGTCTCAATCAAATGATGGATTTTGTCGGTTTGTAGACAGACACACAGTGCTATTGAGGGACATGCTGATTTTTTCAGCCCTAAATACATTTCTAGTTCGACCTGAAAGGCTCTGGCCTTGACCCTTGTGCATAGGGAGGAGTGTCGCACTCTCTATACTGGAGCTTCCTAAAATCTTCAAAGAACGTTCAAATCAAACTCAGTTTGGCCCTTGGTTAGGATTGAAGTTTTAACACAGAAAGGCCGACAGGTCTAAATATTTTAAGATGCCTGGTCTAAATATGTAGAGAAAGTAATTTTGTGAAAAGGCAGGCCACTGCAAAACCTGTGAAAGAACCTCATTTCCCATTTTTGTATTTTCACTTGCCCAACATTTTATTCTTCTAAGGCCATTTCTAGTGATATTTTTATGCCCTGGGCATGCACTCATGTTAAAAACTGCATTGTGTGTCTCAGGTTTGTCCTTAATAAAGAAAAATGATTACATGAAATCCAAGATCTTCATGGGAGTGCAGTCTGAACCTAGCTAAGCAGTGCTTTTCAAACATTCTGACTTTCAAATTTGCTTCTTGTGTTTAAGACACTGGGAAGCAGCACAGGGACTCACCTAGACGTGGGCGTGAGGATATGTGAGTAGCTGGACCTGCACATTCAACCAAACAAAGCGTTTCCTCTCACCCTCATTTACTTTATCTGGGGCTTGTTCTCTATTTTATACACATATGTTCTTTTTCTTTTTAGAAAAACTTTTTGGGGGTAATTAGGTTTATCTATATACTTTTAATGGACGCACGGGGGATTGAACCGAGGACCTTGTGCATGCTAAGCATACACTCTACCCCTGAGCTATACCCGCCCACGAATGCCCTTCCTCTTCCGCACCACCATGAAGTCTTCATGAGCAGGAGTTCTGTCTGCCCCTTCTCACTGCACCTATGACGTTCTGTGTATGTGCAAATTCTCATGGAATGTTTTCCAAGTGAAATTTAATTCGGTACAATACTTGTTGAGCCTCTACTATGTGAAAGGCACTGTGCTTTGTGTTTTGAGGAACATAAAGATGAATAGGATGTAGCTCCTGACCTTAAGGAACTTACTACTAATAGTAAAAACATGGTAAGTTTTCTAATGAGAGATTCCTCATATGATTTGCATTTGCCTATCTGGAAGTAGAGTGGGTAAATGGAAATGTTCCTTGTTAATACAACTTTAGAGGCTAGATTGACTAAGAGTCCTGTGGTTGGACTTCTTCCAAAGGCACATTTCATCAGGACAAGCCAGTGGGCGCATCTTGAGATGAGGAGGCAGGAGAGATTATAAGATTTCTGAGTGTGAATCTCGGTGGTTACAGATTGAGGATACTGTTGCTCAAAGATGGTTCTCCAAATACTTGCATCTTAAATACTGTTACATATACGGATTCCTGGGCCCCAGCTTGCATCAGCTGAACCTGAATCTCTGGTCTTAGAATCTACATTTTAACAAATTCTTCATTCTAACATACCTACTCGGGTGATTCTAAAGTCCGAAAACCATTGACCTAGAATGAGAAATATGCTAGGAGGTCATAACTGAGATGGAACCCAGCACTTCACTGCTGTTTATCCCCTGCTGCATGGCCCCCATGCTCCCTAGTCATTCAGTGCCTTCTGTAATGGTCCTGCATTGCTTTGAGATGGACAAATGCCTCAGATTACCAAATTAGAAATACAGAACTAAATTTTCTAGGGCTGAAAACCATTTCTTTTTTTCCAAATTGAAGCACTCAGAGAGAAGCAGCGAACTGCACCATCATCCACACACACATCACGCACTGGACGGACTGCGCTTTCAGCCGTGGGGCGGACTGCCGCGGTCAGGGCAAGTACCCGTGTCTGCAGGTGCTTGTGAACCTCACCCATTCAGGGCAGAAAGCTCTCCTACATTATAACGAAGTGGCTGTCCAGACAAATTCCAAGGTAAGGTCAAGTTTATGTAACGAAAGAGTTCTAATCACAGCAACCTTTCCACGCCAGACTGTTCCTAGCAGGGTGCAGTATCCAGGCCCATTTCTAGATAAACCTGCTTCCTTCCAGTGAACGTTTTGACAGTGGCCAAATTAGGCTAAATGAAGCTAAAAACATTGGGGAGGAAAAATGAGGTGTATAGAAAAGAGTGGAATTACTCCAATTTCATAAACTGGTATCTGGAATTTAAAGACTGGGCCAATGAACAGTCTTACTTATGGAGGTCGCATTCCCCATCGTATCAAAAATGTTAACATGTTCTCACAGCCCTCCTTAAATCAAACATATAATTTTTCTTATCAAAGAAATTTAAAGAATATCCTTTAAAGGATACTCAGTTGGTTCGTATGACTTAAGTGTACATTTTCACCTAACTATAAAAGTTGAATTGTATTAAATTAGTTGACATGTGATACTTTGTTGTGTTTCTTTAAGCACTAATTTCAATCTGATGATTTTGGTTTTCTTTTTGGATGCAATAATTTTTAAGGTCTCAAATATTTTTGTAGGCCCTTGAGTGCCTAGTGGATATGGTAATAACGCTTTTTTAAAAAGAATCACCAGCTGATGGAGCTTCCTTCTCTCCACTGGTTGTGCCTCCCAGGAACCAAAGCCCACGTACGGCCCCCTCTCCGTGGGCCTAGAACAAAAGCCTCAATGTGTTATCCTTTAGGGAAAGATTTTACTACAGATGATACAGGCATTAATAGGTGTTGAAGGCACATAAAGAGCTCAGTATATATTTGTTGAGTGGACAAATAGATTCATTATTATCCAGGAAGAGAGTGAGGCCCTGCATGTAGGGAAGAGCATAGTCCTTATGAAGATGGTCACTGCCTCTTATACTATGTCTTTATTCTAAGAATTCTGTCCCACATCCCTGTTTAGTGCTCAAAAATGTCCATTTCATTCTTTGCTCTCCTGGCAACCCTTCCCCAGGAGCTGTGAACTAGGTTTTATCACCTTCTGAGATGAAAACTCCTAACAGCTTCAGTCTGAAGTGATTTCAGAATTAAAACTGTTGTTTAAGTGCTTGGTTTCAGAGGCAGTGCCCTCATCTTTCTTCCCCCTCTGTGCTCCTAGTGCTTCTACACACCTAAGTGCCACCGAGATAGAAAAGATTTGCTCAACAGTGCTCTGGGCATAAAGGAATTCTTCGATCTCAAAAACGGGACCCCCTTTTCATGCTTCTACAGTCCAGACAGCCAGTCCAAAGATGTTATTCTCATTAAAAAGTATGACCGAATGGTTATCTTCCATTGTTTGTTCTGGCCATCACTGACTCTGGTAGGTGGTGCCCTGATAGTTGGCATGGTGCGATTAACACAGCACCTGTCCCTACTGTGTGAAAAATACAGCGCTGCACTCAGAGACGAAGTAAGTGGCAAAGTACCTTACATGGCCCGGCACCAGTTCAAACTGTGGGGTGTAGGGAGGAGCAAAGGAAAGAGAAGGCAATCTTAAGATGGTGGCCACATTCAAGTCCTGACCTTCAGTTAACCTGCCATTTCTGCACTTGAGGACCTAATTAGGCCTACTTGCAAACTAACCATGTAGAGGCAAAGTTAAGTACGAATATTTCATGGGCAGAAGAAAATTTGTAGTCTCATTATGCATTCATTCTATTTATTTTATAAATACATAAAAATTCACCATCATTTCTACTCCAAATCTCTCCACATGAGCCAAGGAAGCACTTTTTGTTTCCACGTGGCAAACTGAGCTCAAGGTCTTTGTGCTTCATCTGCTATCAACTCACACTGCAGAACTAGTTATATCTGACTTGTCACTGTGGAAGTAGATGAGGAGGGTTTCTAACCTGGTGAGCGCTGAACGGCCAATCGAGTTCTATGCAATAGAGTTCACATTAAAACATTTCTCAAAAAAATTCTTAGTGAAGAACAGTTCACTACTCACTATAGGAAGATAATAATCTGATAATTTCAGAAAACACGGACCTACGATTTTACTTCACCATGAGAAAAGAGAGAAGCCGCAGCCTATAAAATTCGCTAAGCTTAGCATTATTTGTACTTAACCTTGCCATGGACCATGTAATTTTTCTTTCAGCAACATTTTTTCCAGTTAATTATGCTTTCCGTAAGCTCATTTTGTTGTGTACATGCTGGAGGGAGCAGGAGAGATGGCTAGAAATGTGTTGTGAAGCAGGGAGAAGCTATACTGGATGGAATTTAACATTCATTTCAGATAACCCGCATCACAGAAAAGTCCCACATGGATAGTCAACAACTGTCCGTACTTTAATTAATGAATCAACCACGGTTATTAAATAATGAATGTCACAAAACTCTCCCAACAAGTGCTTTCCAGGTTAAGCTGAATATACGAGTTGGAAACAGAGTTCATTCTGAAAACCATTGTACCTCGAAGTAGCTTTACAATTTTACTAAGAAATCTTATAGCAAGGACAACAGAAAGAATGACTTTTGAAGCAACCTTTATATGTAGATGTTATCAAAACAGAAACTTTGACTCTAAGCCAATTTAATGCCTTTTAGCAAATAATTGTAAGTCACACATTATTAAATAAACTGAATAATTAAATAAAGCAATACTGACTTGAACAGCAGTGAACAATTTTGGTATTTTCTCTTCTTTCTAGTGAGGAATAGTGGAGAGAACATGTGTCTTAAAGTAGGATTTTTTTCGAATTTTTTGAATAATTACAACTTCTCAGGTATGTATCCTTGGGTAATTCAGCTGAATTGTTTGAGCCTCTCTTCTCAACCATAAGTAGGGATAAGCTCTTCTTTCACGGGGTTATTTTTAAGGAAGAAACAAGGTAGAATATGTGGAACACCTAGCTTAATTTCTGGTACCAAGTGGATGTGCATAAAAATGTTAGTAGATGAAAAAAACTTCTGCTAAGTTTTCAATTTTCAGTCAGCCTTCTCCCTCTTCTGGGGATGTACCCTAAAGAAATGAAATCAGTACCTCCAAGAAATACCTGCTCTCCATGTTCACTGCAGCACTATTCACAATAGCCAAGGTATAGAAACAATCTAAGTATCCACTGACAGATGAATAAAGAAATCGTGATTATATATATAAAACGTGTATACATATATAAAATGGAATATTTTTCAGCCTTAAAAAAATGAGATCCTGCCATTTGCAACAACATGGATGAACCTGGAGGTCACTGTGCTAAGTAAAATAATCCAGACACAGAAAGGAAAGAACTGCATTTCACTTATACATGGAATCTAAAAATGTTGAATACATAGCAGAGTGCAGAATGCTAGTTACCGGGGGTGAGGGAGGGGAGTTGGGGAGATGTTCGTTAACGGGTACAGACTTTGTTATAAGATGAATAAATCTTCAGATCTAATGTACAGCATAATGACTATAGTTAATACTGTATTGAATACTGGAAACGTACTAAGAGAATAGATTGTAGGTGCTTGCATCACACACACACACACACACACACACAAGGTAACTGTGTGAGGAGATGATGTGTTAATTAGCTTGACTGCAGTAAACATTTCACTGTGTGTATGTCTATCAAATCATCATGTTGTAAATCTTAAGTATATACAATTCTTAGTAAAAATAAATTCAGTCAGTCTTGGTACCTTTCATTGGGGGTAGGAAGCTGCAGGAGAGGATTCCTCTCCACCTTCTCTTGGCTAAATATGATATGCATTTAAGGTCCAGAACATGCTGTTTAAAAGGTTGTAGTAAATTGTTTTGTATGCCAAAGACTTCTCTGTAATAAAATGTATGTATGCATACATATTTTAAATCATTCTGCAAACTGAGATTCTCTAGATTTCTTGAGTGAATGGCACATCTGTATTCCACTTCTAAGTTTGACACCCATCTAACGATATGCAGTTCTTGAGATTTTTCTAACAAATTCCAAACAATTAATTTGAAACCTAAAATGTATGGAACTGTGAAATCTTAAGTGTTTCAGTTACTACAGTTTTCCATTCATATAGTGGCTATTTAGTTCACCTCAGGAAAGAGACATTATGCTTGGAGAACAAAGTCAATTTAGAACAATGTTATCTCAAAGTCACTCAAACCACTTGGCAAATAAACAACATTTTAGCAATTACTTGCTGTTAATTGCTTAGAAGTACTAAGTATCAATGCCCATGTGCATTACTAGTCCAAGAAAAGCCCAGACTTACCTTTTGCAAGGTTTGTGGTAACTGAAAGCAAAACCAGTTTGCTTCTAGTCTAACTTCACTTCTAGGTTATGGTCATCAACTGACTTGGGAAAAAGTCTGTCCACAGACACATTCCTACATGTATGTGTAATGCATTTATTTCTGCTCAAAATACAAGCATATAGTTCTTCATGCTTAAAGGAAGTTAATATTTAAATAGCTGTTTTTGTAATATTCATCACTTTACTGGGACAGAAAAATTGGCTTTTATGGCATAATAGTTTGAGATTTTCAATCAGCTATACTTAGTCATTATTGATAAGAACTCAAATTCAGCTAAATTTTGATTAGCAACACTGATTTGCTTCTAAGTATTCAAAATAAATGACAAATATCATTATCACAGTTTTTTTGTTAAAATATATAGTAGACTAAGGATTGTTTGGACACAAAAGTAATTTTTTTTTTAATAAACAGTTTGTTGTTACAGACTGCAAAGTTAAAGAAAAGCAGACAGTGACAGTTTCTGATGAGAACAAATAGTAAGTGCAGTCACAGGCCAAATTTCTTGCCAGGAACAGCAAGACTGGGAAGAAGTCTTGAATTTAGTGGCACTGTATCATTCTGTATTCTCAGTACAACACATGCATCTTGCTGTGTCAGATACTTTTGGGGCCATCATTAAAGAACATTTAAAAACATTTTTCTTCTAATCAATGCAGTATACCAAAGGACTCCAACCCACTGAGTGACAAAATATAGAAAAATAGATTTGCTACAAAAAATGGGGCTAAAGAAGGTGGTGGGAGCTCCTTTTTGAAGCTTCCAAGGTCAACATTTGGTATGTCAGTAGTCTTCCTGTGGTAGTGCCACATTGCCCAAGATGTTAAACTGTTATGTTCCAAAAGGACCTATTCTTTTGGATATTATTCCAACCAAAAAAATCAGAGGAATGAATCACACTGAAACCATTAATTGCATCTGAAACTTTGGTTCCATAACCAAAAATATTTCTAGGAATCAGATGAAGGTTAAGTTTTCCAACCACTTTTAGGAATATAAATTTAATCTGACAAGGGGCTTTTTCTTATGAAATCAATAGATAATGACATTTGGAAATACATACTACAATTAAGAAGTTTAGTCTTATTAAAGATATTCTGAGAGAATATAATAAAATAATGAAGGTTTCTGCCTCCTTGCTAGCCTAGAAGCATTAACAAAAGTTAAGAATCACCTAAAAAATATACAAGGCTCTTAGCATAACAAAATTATTGTAGTAAGAGATTAAATAATGTTTTAGACAGATTCATAAACTTAACTGGCCTACAAAATGCATTAAAAACTCTTCCCATACTTAACCAACATGAGGACTGGAGTCTATTGTTGGTAGTGAAACTCAGTTACCCAACTAATACATACAGTGGACTGGTTTTACTTTTCCCCTCCCTGCTAAAACTCTTAAATGGAGTTGTGCAAAAATCAAGTCAGAAGATTTTCTTATAGCTCATAACTGTCACTTTTTGCTAACTAGCATGGGTGAAATATGACCATATCTAAGCCAAGCAAAAGGAATGGTGCTGCATTGATAAAAAGTGTAAAACCTTACTCAAATGGAGCACTTGAACAAAATGAGCTTGTTAAAAAACTAACATCCCAACTTGGGAAACTCCTCTGAGTTTTAGAACCTTGATGTTTATACCTTTTATAAAAGATGCCTCAACGAAGGCTAGCAAGCAGTGTGCATACAAATTGAAATGTCTGCAAATACACACACACCAGTTTCACTAACAATAAAGAAAACAAAACTAATTTCAATGTTGAATTCAATGAACCTCCTGGCACTACTGCCTTTTTCACGTGGCTTGAGCAATGATTAAATTTTAACCAAAAATTTTTCTTAATATCATCTCCAATGCCATTACAAACAAGGCATGCAACTCTGACTTTTACAAATCTAAAATATGATGCTCTGTAATATCAGAGCCAGAAGTATTGAACTGTGACTCATCTGTTTTTTTTTCCTTATTAACCCGAGGTAGAGTTACCAATCTAAATCCAATTTTATCAGGACCATACTTACATTGAGCTAAACCCTATAATCTTTTCAGAAAGTGAAAATAACTTTTAAGAGAAAAAAAAAAGGCTTCCCAGGTCATGGCACATAAGATACATTTACAATTTTTAATGTAGTAATTAAAAAATAAAAATGGTTTGCTTTGTATTTTAAAGAACACCAAGAATTATCATCTGAGGATGTTGTCAATGCTGAATTGTATAGTTCAGCCGTCAAAATCCCCTTGATGAAGAGATAATTCCCTCATGGTATGCACAATATACTCTTACAACTTCTAGCCTTGTCTTAGTGCTTGATCTGAGCAGGATGGATCTGAAGAATGTAATTCATCCAAACAACAACTCCCTGTTTTGCCCCCTCCTTCCACATGCCCCTCTTCTCAAAAACAACTCAAGTATGAAAGTTGTTTTTAAGTAGCAGAAGCACCACAATCTATTAACACCACATATGGTCTTTACACTGAAATATTTTAGTGATCAAAATCAATTTTTAAGGTAGATTCTGAGTGTGTGGGTCCAGCCCAGATCTGCAGTTTGTGCGGACACAGAAACAAAAGGAACTTAAAAACATTCACAAAAAGTGAACTTGCTGGCTTTAAAATAATGCTGGAAATTTAAATTTCTTCAAAGAGTTGGGAAGCATAAGCTATTGGTCAGGATATGAATTAAATGGATTTACAAATCATTAAGAAACAAATCCAAGTTTATGTACTGTGAAATTTCTATGGTGTCTTTTAAATAGATAGGCTGCTCATAAATTCTTTTTTTGTAAATGCCAAATCACTCAATTTTTGCTGGAAAAAAGAATACAGATGGACTATGTTTTACCTATGTGAAATCACCAATCTATTTAAAATCTAAGATAATATATACATTCTAACCAAATAATTGATTATTTTCCTGATTAATAAGAACTACACTTTACACAAAATACTTTATCAGCAGCTGTTTTCTTCAAAAAACCAATAGTCATAGTTTCACAGTTGAAAAAGTTACACATTAAAATATTTTACAATTCATTGTATATTCATCAGGTTCCCACTTCCTAAAGGGCTTGTAATATAAAGCAGATTAGAAGGGAAAACCCCAAAGTTGATCACTTTGACACTAAGTTTTACAGAGGACACTAAGAACCACAAAAAGCTTAGGTTCTATTGTAAAACAGCGACCAAATTCCATTCTTTAAAAAAATCCAATTAGAAACATCTTTTAAAAAAACCAAGTTCCACAATATGATTAACAGATTTCAAATTAACAGCAGTCTAAAAATCTTCAAAATGAATGATTATAGCTGAGAATATGATAAAAAATTAAAACATGATTTGTGAACAGTTGATTATTTCTTGCTAGAATGTGTTTAAATTAGGTTTTATTTTCTTTAAACCTGCTTTTCTTCTATTCTCCAAAATAGTCACTAAAAGAAATATTGCTTAAGTGATCAAATGAAATTGTTGAGCCAATAGTCAGTTATACCACATTCAATGACAAGGATGCTTGGTTATAGAAACTGACCAATCAGAATTGATCTCTGATACTGAAGTACCTGGAAGTAGCTATATCATCACTGACTGGAAACATCCTAGTCACCCCATGTTGCATTTAACTCAGTTTTTGGTTCTTTGCCTTCTAAGTACTACCTGTTCCCTTTTTCTGATTTTTAATGTTGTTTGCATAAACTCTGCTTGTATTTGTTTGAAATGTACTTTGTTTGCATTTAGCAAGATCCCTTAATCTATAT